ACTACTTTTCTAATATATGGAATTGATGAATAGATTACAAACTTTCAATGGTAGTTGCGACCCTTACTAATGTATGGAACTGATGAGTAGAATACAAACTTTCAATGGTAGTTACTACCCTTACTAATGTACTAATGTATGGAACTGATGAGTAGAATACAAACTTTCAATGGTAGTTGCGACCCTTACTAATGTATAGAACTGATGAGTAGAATACAAACTTTCAATGGTAGTTGCAACCCTTACTAATGTATAGAACTGATGAGTGGAATACAAACTTTCAATGGTAGTTACTATCCTTACTAATGTATAGAACTGATGAGTGGAATACAAACTTTCAATGGTTGTTACTACCCTTACTAATATATAGAACGGATGAGTTGAATACAAACTTTCAATTAGTAAGGGTAGTTACTACCCTTAATAATGCATGAATTGGTGAGTAGAATACAAACTTTGTAAATGAACATTTTTTTTTTTTTTTGAGCTGTCTCCTGAGGTGGGCATGGTAGTTCACCCCTTTAATCCTAACCTTTGGAAGCAAAGGCAGGCAGATCTCCAAGTGAGAGCAAGACCCAAAACAATAAATAAATAATAATAATGTCTTAATGTTGCCTAGGCCATTCCCAACCCTGCCTCAGCTCCCTCATTAGCTGGGATAACGTCAATCTTGGAAATTCAAATTGCTGTACAGTCTAATACTTTGTTAATAAACTTGACAGAGTAAATACGTATGATGTTAAAATGCAAAGTTCTCAAATCAAATCAAATGGCAAACATTCATCTGTATGTGCAATTTAATTTAGCTAAGGCAAATTTCCTCAACTGAGAATACCAGATAATAATCTCTACCACCTGTAAGATTATACATGGTTCAAAAAAAAGCAATGAAGGAAAAACTATTCCATGTTCAGTAAATCTTTACTGCGATTATTAATGTCAAAAGCTAAAATGGGGGCTAGAGAGCAAGTTCAGTAGTTAAGAGCATTTATTGATTTTGCAGAAAACCCCGTTTTGTTCTCAATGCTCACAGGGCACCTGAAAACCACTTGTCATTCCAGCTCCAGAACATTTACCACCCTCTTCTGGCTTCTGTGGTTACTGCATGTATGTGGTGCATATACATTCATGAAGGTAGAGGCATCTATGAAGACGTATGGAATATAATTTTCTGACTAACTGGAAGTGATTCTCTCTCTCTCTCTCTCTCTCTCTCTCTCCTC